GTTACTAATATAATATTAAAGCCACCTTAATAGTATGCTAGAGTGCAAAGTTCTGGTAATATTTATTGTACCCAGGCATTCGCATTTTCAGCGAATATTCCGCTTTAATTCTTTCCACAAAGTTTTGCCAACAAATGTGCAATTTGCACGCAATGTTTGAAGCACTTCAAATCAAATCAATTTCGCATCGTTGCGATTCCATTGGGCGGCCCAACAGTTGACAGCTGTGGGCGTGGCAGTGGTGGTCGTCTGAATCAGTTCACACAAATGTGGCGGGGCTGAGGCGGGACTGGAGCGTGGCTGGGGCTAGGGGTGGGGCTTGGGCTGACCATTTCATAATAACTTGTTGACAATTCAAATTATGCAGATCATTTAAAGGCCTCACGAAATTGTGCCCTAAATATGCATATGTCCAGCAGAGTTACACGCATCTATGTGCATGTGTGTGTGCATGTATTGTATATGTGTATATAGGCATCAACAATGTGCGTTTATTTATGTTAATTTAAATCAACATGCAAAAATTAGTACTTGACATGGCAGAGTCGAGTCGAGTCGAGCCGAGGCGAAAGGCGTTAACTAACGGCATGTGGGTGCTGCTGAGGTGTAGGCACGTTGTGCACGTCGCCCAGGGGCGTGGCACATTTAATTTGCTTAATTACTTGGCCCCTGATTAACATATTTAAATGAAATGCCGCCAACGCTGGCAAATTATTTCACTTTGCCCAAAAAAGGGGTCAACTGCCGCATCCCACCCTCCCCCTCCTCCCCTCTACCAAAAGCCCAAACCCCTAACCCTTTCAGCCCACTGATGACATGCTGTACGGGTGGGCGTGTCAACATAATGCACGCCTGATTGCCAGCCGGCACGGTCCGCTGAGTCAGCACATTCGTCAAATGTCCGGCCAGGATTTGGATTTGTTTTTGGTTTTGATTTTGGCTTTGAATTTGCATTTGAATTTGATTTTAGTTTTTGGTTTTGGTTTTGGTTTCGTTTTCAGTGTTTGTTGCTGTTGCTGTTGCTGGCTGTTGGCTTTAATTGTAATTGCAATTGCATTAATTAACTCTGCACATTTTGCTGACTGTCAGGGCAAACACTCAATGCATTTGAATGCACGCGTGGACAATGCTAACACACCTTTTGCACTCCAACTTCAAAGTTTGTGTTGAGCAACAAAGCTCAAGAGTTCCTTCCCCTTATCAATAATATAGTAATAACTTGTCATTAGAACTGGCAGATGCCTCCTGCTCGCTGCCTCCTGCTCACTCCCTGCCTCCTGCTCTCTGCTCCTGCTTGCTGCCTCCTGCTCGCTGCCTCTTGCTCGCTGCCTCCTGCTCGCTGCCTCCTGCTCTCTGCTCCTGCTCGCTGCTCAACATCTCGTGCTTAAAACAAAACCACTTCTCATTCGAGCTGACATCGGCTGTCCTATTTGGTTAGTGGATATACAGCCATATAGTATATCGATATATTGTACACACGTATATATATTTAATTCATCAGCATCAACAAGAGTTTCCTTCTTCTTCTACAACTTTTTGTCTGCCCCATTGTCAGGCTGTGTCTGTTTGCTCTTGCAGCTGTCTGTTTCCATTGCTATTAGCTGTCATGGTCTCTATCGCCACGAAATGGAGTTTCATTTTCATGCTCATTCGCTTAACTAAATGGGCATATTCATTTCACTCGCTTCAAGATCTTAAATCACATCTGGCGATTTGGCTCACCTGTTACGAAGCAAACTCGCTTAAGTCTCGTACTTTTAGCTCAATTACTAAATTATTTTAAATTCAGCTCAATTGGGTCAGATAACCAAAAAGATGTAATACTTCGTAATACTTCCATATGCTCAATTTTCAGACTCGTATATCCCTAACGCACGACCTGTTCTCGCATAAATGAAGAGCTTCAGATTGATTCCATAAAAAGTAAAGCAAGTGATCGATTATTTCAATCATATCTATCTAAATAAACCCAAACAAGCGGGTAGACGGACGATCGAACGGACGCACGGCCAGACAGACGGACGGACAACGGGATGGACGAATGGACGGGCGGGCGAACTATGAAATGGAAGGACAGACGGAGAAAGGAACGAACAGGCGAAGGGATAAACGAACGGACGGATAAGGGAATGGACAGGCATACGGGCAGACG